GGATAATATCATCCCGCAGCATTTCATCAACTTGTCTCTTGATGGCCTCACGTTCTCGCGTCGAAACCCTGTACGGACTCTGACGGAGTGGTCTGGCACTTTCTTCGGTTATGATGCGATGTTTCGTGATTGGGGTCTGCCGAATTTTCGATGACGACGAAAAGCAATCTTCGTATTGCAGGAGCAGGGCCTTGAGCTGTTCTTGCTTATCGTTCGGAAGTCTGGAATTGACGTCGAAAGCTATGGGAGGGGCTTGGTTCCTCTGAGCAGGTTCCGCAGAATCGGCGAGGGCGAAAGCACTGGTGGCTTCGACAATTTCTTCGATGTATGCGACCGTTGTTCCTTTGTTCACATGTTTGTACTCATCGAAGACCCCGTGTTCACATGTTTGTACATCGAAGAAATTGTCGAAGCCACCAGTGCTTTCGCCCTCGCCGATTCTGTGGAACCTGCTCAGAGGAACCAAGCCCCTCCCATAGCTTTCGACGTCAATCCCAGACTTCCGAACGATAAGCAAGAACAGCTCAAGGCCCTGCTCCTGCAATACGAAGATTGCTTTTCGTCGTCATCGAAAATTCGGCAGACCCCAATCACGAAACATCGCATCATAACCGAAGAAAATGCCAGACCACTCCGTCAGAGTCCGTACAGGGTTTCGACGCGAGAACGTGAGGCCATCAAGAGACAAGTTGATGAAATGCTGCGGGATGACATTATCCAGCCGTCCAAGAGCCCATGGGCATCTCCCGTGGTGTTAGTGAAGAAAAAGGATGGGACCCTACGTTTCTGCGTCGATTATCGCCGCCTGAACAAAATCACAAGAAAGGACGTGTATCCTCTCCCACGAATAGACGACGCACTTGATCGGCTCCATAACGCCAAGTACTTTTCGTCAATGGACCTCAAGACTGGCTATTGGCAAATCGAAGTCGACGAAAGAGACCGAGAGAAGACGGCGTTTATAACACCGGATGGCCTCTTCGAGTTTAAGGTGATGCCCTTCGGCCTTTGCTCAGCGCCTGCAACTTTTCAACGCGTTATGGATACAGTACTGGCAGGTTTGAAGTGGCAGACTTGCCTTGTGTACTTGGACGACGTCGTCGTGTTTTCCTCGAGTTTCGACGAGCATCTTCGGCGCCTTGAAGCTGTACTTCAAGCCATCAAGACTTCCGGACTCACACTGAAGCCAGAAAAGTGCAGATTTGCGTATGAAGAGCTCTTGTTTCTGGGGCACGTTATCAGCAAGTCTGGAGTTCGTCCTGATCCACGGAAAACAGCCGCCATCGCCGAATTCCCGCCGCCCACTGACAAGAAAGCCGTGCACCGATTTCTGGGCCTGTGCGCCTATTATAGGCGGTTCGTGAAAAACTTCGCCCGCATCGCCGATCCTCTCACTAACCTTACCAAGGCCGACGTCGAGTTCAAGTGGGAAACGCCACAGGAACACGCTTTCCAGCAGCTTAAACATCGCCTCCAGACGCCTCCGTTACTTGCCCATTTCGACGAATTCGCCGAGACAGAAATACATACTGACGCAAGCAGCGTAGGTCTTGGCGCCGTTCTTGTGCAGAGGGCTGACGGACTTGAAAGGGTTATTAGTTACGCCAGCCGATCGCTATCCAAAGCAGAAGCAAATTATTCCACAACAGAAAAGGAGTGCCTCGCCATCATCTGGGCTACGTCGAAATTTCGTCCATACCTCTACGGCAGGCCCTTCAAAGTTGTGAGCGACCACCACGCCTTGTGTTGGCTAGCCACTTTGAAGGACCCTTCAGGTCGCCTCGCACGATGGAGCCTGAGACTTCAAGAATATGACATTACTGTCATTTACAAGTCCGGCAAAAAACACTCCGACGCCGACTGTCTCTCTCGTGCGCCTGTCGACCAACCGCTACCCGACGACCCGGATGACGACTACTTCTTGGGAACGATAACTACCGACGACTTCGCTGAACGACAACGGGCCGACCCGGAACTTCAGGCCCTAATAGAATACCTCGAAGGCAGGACCGCCGAAGTCCCGAAGGTATTCAAGCGCGCACTTGCGTCGTTTTTTCTACGAAACGGTCTTCTACAAAAGAAAAACTTTTCACCGCTTCGGGCTAAGTATCTCCTTGTGGTGCCTTCAGCTCTGCGACCAGAACTCCTGCAGGCCCTGCACGACGATCCGACGGCAGGGCACCTCGGTGTTTCTCGCACGCTCGCGAGGATACAAGAAAGGTACTACTGGCCGCGTCTTACCACCGACGTCACTCGTTATGTGAGGACATGCCGGGAGTGTCAGCGACGCAAGACACCGCCGACAAGGCCAGCGGGACTTCTGCAGCCAATTGATCCACCTTGCCGACCTTTTCAGCGGATTGGTATGGACCTATTGGGGCCGTTCCCGACGTCGGCTTTCGGAAACAAGTGGATCGTGGTAGCCACCGACTACCTCACCCGCTACGCCGAGACAAAAGCCCTGCCAAAAGGCAGTGCATCCGAGGTAGCTAAGTTCTTCGTCGAAAATATCGTCCTACGTCACGGCGCCCCGGAGGTCCTTATCACCGACAGAGGAACGGCATTCACTGCCGACTTAACTCAAGCGATCTTGGCATACAGCCAAACAAACCACCGCCGGACGACAGCGTACCACCCACAGACCAACGGCCTCACCGAGCGGCTTAACAAGACGATCGCCGACATGCTGTCAATGTACGTCGATGTCGAACACAAGACGTGGGATGCCATTCTTCCGTATGTGACCTTCGCATACAGCACGGCGGTGCAGGAGACGACGCAGATATCTCCATACCAATTGGTCTATGGAAGGAGCCCGGCAACGACGCTCGATGCCATGTTACCCAACGTCACCGACGAAGAAAGCCTCGATGTGAGCGAGTACCTTCAACGTGCCGAAGAAGCCCGACAACTTGCGCGTCTCCGTATCAAGAATCAACAGACGACAGACAGCCACCGTTACAACCTTCGACGACGCTTCGTGTAATACCAGCCCGGTGAACGTGTTTGGGTGTGGACGCCGATACGCCGACGTGGACTAAGCGAAAAGCTTCTGCGACGGTACTTCGGACCGTACAGGGTGGTTCGACGTCTCGGCCCACTTGATTACGAGGTTGTCCCTGACGGCATCACGAACTTTCAACGACGCCGATCGCGACCTGAAGTCGTGCATGTCGCGCGCCTCAAGCCGTTTCATGCGCGTTAACAAACTGAAACAGTGTTTTTTTGTATTAATGTTTCATCGTAATTTATTCATTGTACTTTCTTGCATTATTATTGTACCTTCATCTTTAGTTAAAGCATCGAGACGATGCCTTTTTCAGAGGGGGGCAATGCCACGTTCCATTTCCCAAGTTTTTGTTATCGTCCCAAAACACCACACGATTCTCAGCGCAAACCGCGCCTGCAGTTTTCTAGAGGGTTCCGGACTGTAGTAGATCATTTCGATAAGATCACGCCCACTGTGCGAATGGTACAGATTGTTCTGGAACGTACGCCGCCGCCGCCAGCGATAGCGCTAGAACATTCGACGGCGGGAGTATAAATGCCGACGCGCTTCGCCGCTTGTCAGTTGTTGATCGAAGGCCGACGCTCCGTTCGCCGCTATCAGTCTGAGACTGCTATCTCTGCGAGACTGCTGCTGTAATTAGACTTTCTGTTTACCGGGCAAAGGTTCGCCCAAATAAACAGTTAAATCCCAACAAGAAGTCTCCTGTCTTCGGCCACGTCACGACCCTGTGACATTTGGTCACGGGGTCCCGTGACAATATGGTGGTGGCGATCACCAATGTTTGCGATCACAGGGTGTGCTATGGCTGCAAAGAGGCCTATAGTCACGTTTTATAAACAAGCGTAAAATCTGTGTATAGACTTATGGCAGTGACAGGGGATGCCATCTATATATGTGTAATGAACTACAAGTGGTCGTGATATGTACAAGTGAGGGTTTGAACAGCACAAATGCCTCCGGCCTAAAAGCAAGAAGGCAGCTGCTTTTTGTAAAGTTTCTTTCTGTATTCGTAGCACAACCCCTTTCAGAGGTTGCGCTACGGATAGCCAGGGTATATGACGTGAAAGCTGTCAACTTCTTCTAAAAAAGCAAACAATGACTGGTGGTTAGACAGCGGTTCTTTGCCAATGAGCATCTATGGGTGAAGCGGTGTTCTTTCTTGGCCCAGAAATGAGAAGTGCTTTTTTCTCATGGGGCCTAATCGACTACAGTGGATGAGAATGTGGAAAGCGAGACTGGTTCATCACATTTCTCACACATGGCTGGGTCCCCACCGGACAGAAGGTATGAGTGCGTACTATAGGCGTGTCCAATTTTAAGTCTTGTAAGTGTAACCTCTGTCCAGTGTGATTTCAATTGGCAGCCAGTTGCCAAGGTGCAGCTTGATAAAGTACAGTTTGTTTTGTGTTTGTCTATTTCATGTGCTCTGCGAATAAGCTCCGAGCGTTTGCCTGAGAAATTGCTTTAACACAAGCATAAGCATGGCTATTACTCTATTGAAAGTGGTTTCATTGGAGGATACAGCTAGCTGGTCCGCCATTATGTTTCCTTGTACCTCACAGTGCCCTGGCACCCAGCACACAAGGACATGTTCTTTAAGTGCATAGACCGTACACAGAAGTGAGTATAGCGAGACTAGGACAAGATTTTTGTGTCTTTTCAGAATTATGACTGCAAGTGTCGAAGACTCTTTCTTGCCAGGTGACGTCACATAGCACGAGCTCTTTTTACGTGCTGGCAGCTGAAGTAAACCCTCACATGCTATCTAAAAGCATCAAGTTTGTCGGTAAAAGAACTGCATTACTGCTTTGCGCAGCATGCAACCTGTATTCCAAAATTTATACAAACTGCATATATTGAAACATTGAAACTGGTGCCGCATCTACACATACACATAAGTCTTTAAAAACTTGAACGCTACTCGAAAATCCCCTCAGCTGAACGTGTCACACCGTTAAGGTTTAGGCATAAAGGCAAGAAAGTTTCTCACTTCTCGACATCACTTTTGTCCCGCGAGTTCTCCGTTGTCACTTTGAATGAAGCCTCGTTTAAGGCCTGCAAAAACAGAAAAAGTCAGAATTGCGATATCTCGCATTTGTCTTCATCTTACAATAAAAAACAATGTAAAATCTATCAACATAAATATTTTGAGTAAAGAAGCTTAGCGAAAGTACCATATTTACGCATTGTGCCCTCGCATAATTTGTGCACCCCTAATACTTTGCCAGCTCTGCTGAGAAAAAATATTCACTCACATATTTTGCGCTCCCTGTCCCGCTTGAGCTGGCACGCGCACATTTGGACTTTTCGATGCTTCGGCCGGGTGCGCGCTTCACCGAGCAGACGAGCACAGTCCAACAGGCTGTGAGTGCGAAGTCCCTTCATCCGAGAACTTCTCCCAAACTAGGGTCCTTAGAAAACCACACCCGAACACAAACCTGTTGAAGGGTCACCGAGACTCCTCGTAAGTTTGCCTCCCCCTATTGCACTGCGATAATGGCGAGAATGCACGCGAGGCATGGTCGACTTTCTGCATCCGAGGCATGCGAGGGACTGTCGCGCCAGCTGCGGCACTCATTCTCTTCATCCGCGCTGCAACGTACGCTTGGTCGATTTCAGAAGTTTAGGTTTTTCCATCCGCCCGACGCATTTTGATGGTTTCCATGTGATGTGTTACGATAATTATATATAGGGCGAAATTGAAGCTCGCTGCTGCGAATTTCCTTGAAGAAAACGGGAAGCATGTTGACGCAAAGCACTTCAAGAGGACGTACTTTGAGATGACTAACCGGTGCGATCGGTATGCAAGAAAAAAGAAGAGTGCGCGCTTGCTAATGCAAGTTTCCTGCCATTGTAGGAAGCCTTTTCAAGTGTGTGTGGATGCTTAGTTTTTCTGGTATCCCTGGGTCGTGGAACCTAGTTTCTCCTAGCATTGTTGAAAAAGCTTCAAGAAAATGGGGCGTTAGAACACGCTCAACGGAACCGAGAACGATGCGCTTTGGAAGGGTGGTGGCACCGGCCGCGATGATGATTCCTAATCAGACTACTCGATTAAAGCTGCTAGACTGTGCGTGACCGAATCTGATTGGTTAAAGTATGTGCTAATTTTTAAAAAATTATCATTTACACTTAGTTTGTGCACCAATTTATTTATTTTTTAATGTATATACTGCGCCCGTTAGGTCTGCGACACAATATTTTGTATGCGCTCAATAAATCTCCGCGTAATTTGCGCACCCCCGAGAAAAATCGTAAACAAAAGTGCACAAATTATGCGAGTAAATACAGCAAATGTTCAGGGCTAGAAAAGAGAGAAAGTGCTTAGAACGTACGACAAATCCCTGCAACACCGCTCATTCTTGATAAATTAGGGAAATTACTGCAGTAATTGATTAGTGAGACAATAAACGAATGCACAGGTCATTATATGATAACTTTGAAAAGCGTTTCAGGATCCCCATAAGGCTAAACTTGACAGTGTTACTACCGCTTGCAGGAGAACCGCAATGTTCTCAGCAAAGGACTCCACGCAGCGACTCATGTACAAGACGGCGATATAGTGCCACTCCTCCAGCGAGCTGGTCAATGCTGACTTGAAGTCGATTTCCTGCATGAACACATTTCTGACTTGAACAACCCTGAATGCGAAGTTGTATTGTGGTCACATATTGAAGATATGAACCTTGAATGCAATTTACATCACTTAAAGCATCATTTGTACAGCTTGAGTCTCTTTTCTTGAAAGCTCTGCACTTGCCAGGCTTCTGTTATGAGGGTTGCGTTACAGCAGTAACATGTGCACCATACACAACCTGGAGGTACCAGGCATGTAGCATAGCAGAAACAAGGCTCACTCAAGAGAGATGATCAGTATGGTCAAGCCTCACTGTTATGAAGTCACATCTGAGATGAAAAATTTTTTTTTGATTCTAAAGTTCATTATAAACATATAATCTTTGATATATATGTGGAGTTTAACGTCCCAAAACCACCATATGGTTATGAAAGACGTCGTAGTGGAAGGCTCTGAAAATTTTGACCACCTTGGGTTCTTAATGTGCACCCAAATCTGAGCACACGGACCTACAGCATTATCGCCTCCATCGAAAATGCAGCCACCACAGCCGAAATTCAATCCCGGTACCTGCGGGTCAGCAGCCGAGTACCTTGGCCACTAGACCATCACGGTGGGGCAAAACATATCATCTTTAGGGCATATATAATGAATATGTTTATATAAATAATATCGTACACATCTAATAATATACATCTGCTACGAATGAATATATGCTATGACTGTAAATTAAAGGCAAACCTAACTGATAATTTCCTACATCATGGCTTTACTGTATTTCTCAGGGCCAACAATTGTTTAACCACTGATGCAAACCTGCAAGCAGGTACACCTGCGATTCAGTTTGGAAAGTGATTGTATGTTGTTCCAACCAAATATTTGCATCAGTTGTTTGTCAAAGTTAGTCCAGACGTCAAAGTGCCTAGAAGTAAAAAGGGCATTTTCAGATGGTCACTTTCGGAGGAGCGACTGGTTTTGTCAGTTGTTTCGAAGAACAATCACATTCAAAAAGCGGTTCACTTTCCAAAAAGCAGGTTGTACTTTCTTTCCCAATTAATAAGTTAAGAAACGACTAAAAATGACAAGTGCACAAAAATCTCGGCACCGATTTCCATCATGGGGCAGCACAGTAATCAATGATGCAATCGATTCTACGCAAACATTGCGAGTTATACTCAGGCTATTCTTTACTTTGTTTAATTTCCAGCAGCATAATGACTTCCAGCATGTGCAGCGTGAAATAGCTTTGCCTTCAATGGCTGTTACTGAGAGACAACCATTGCTGAGGCATGCATTTCGCACACTGCTACAATGCAAGTTTATCAGTTTGCATTAGGCTGTCTACCTGACAAGACACTTGGCTTGTCACAACTTCTCACGTTGAAGTGTTCCCTTGTCCTCCATTTTCTTAATAGCCATGAAGATAGCTGTTAGTTAGCAGTAATAACGGGCTTTTCTACAAGTTTCTGTAATACATACCGAATCGGTTAGCAGTGGTAGCAGCGATTTTCCGAAGCGTTCGAGGTCTGTGCAGTACCTAGTTGAACAACATTAAGGAAACAATACTGAAAAATAACACCTCGGTGACGGGTTAAAAGGGATTATGCGGCTGAATATAATTCATCACATGCATGCTTTTTCATACATGCTGAAGAGGCCTGGATTTGGCTTTAATAGTGTCTGTAGTTTTTATTAATCAAAGATTGTAGGGATGGGCTTGCTGGTGGTGAACTTGCTGTGCACAAAGTTTCACTAGATTGTTATTATTTATGCATTTTATATAATGACGGCCAAGCTATTGAAAATTTCATGTTTAACTACAGAGTCACAGAAAATTTAACAAGACAACGCGAAACTTGAATTACAGTGAACTCCCTTTAAGATGAATTCTGTTAAAACAAATTCTTCTTAAGATGAACAACTCGGGAATGTTTTTTTGGTTTCCCATAGACTCAATGGAAGAAAAATCTGCTTAATACGAACCGTGTAACACGCTTCTTCTGTTAAGACAAACTCTCACAGCGACGGCAATTCTGCGCAACAACCACTAGAGTCTTGATGGGGGCATTCAGGCGAACAAAGGAAAGCAAAATGATAAAAAATCTACTGACACCAAGACTCGAAGCAAGTCGAAAGCAAACTGCTACGTGAAGGGAGAAAACGAGATAAGTAGAAAAGAAAGGACAGTGCATAAAGCTGGTATCTCCCTCACCCCTAGCCTGTAGGTGAAAAAAGGGCCGGCTTTATCAGCAGAGAAAGTAACAAAAAGCGTTCATTCTTTTGTATTCTCCTCCTGTTCTTCAGTTACCCAACATAAGATGAATAGATGAAGTGCCTCAGACTAGCTGGCCGACGTTTCAACAGGAGAACGTATCTTTTTCAAAGGCGCCATGTCATCCTTAGCGTGTTAGTTTTAGAGGGGTTAGTGGTGAGGTCATCTCATGGTGGTGGCGCGTGTCCCTGTTGATGATCGCTGTCTGAAAAGCAAAATACTGTAAAGCAGAAGAGTGCAGTCCTCGCTTCACTCCAAGTCAAGTGGTAGTGATTCAAAAATGTTCTCAGAGAGTGGGAAAAAAAAAGAAAAAAAAAAAGAAAAAGCTTCAAGTTGGAGTGGTGTGCTGCAAAAGGGGCAGCCACTTCAGAAACAAACAAGTGAAAGAGCTTAAAGCTTTGGAGCCAGCAGACGGTCACCGCGTCCCGCTACCAGAAAGGGTTGCGGACAATAGAGGTGTACGCCTGTTCCTGAAAACCTATGAATGAGCCATACAACAAGAAAGCAGTTACAAACAGGAGGGAAAGTAGGTGGTGTATTTTTTAAACATCCAAACTAGAATACGCAGCACCCATTGGGAACCTGCACCAGGCATACTTAATTAACAAGCTAGAATCTGTTCAAAATCGTGTCACTAGATTCATTCATTCTTCATACTGATATAAGTATATAATCCCTAACATGTGTAATTGATGTGACTAATCTTCGCGTGCGCCGCCGCATCACCAGTCTCTCTGTTCCACAAGCTCTTTCACAGTTCCCTCAATCATGCTCCTTACATCATACAACCATCGTGCACATCTCATCGGACGACCCATCAGTCGCACGCACGCATGCTCACACCACTGCCTTCATTGCATCATTCTTTCTTCACACAGAAGGGGAATGGAATGGCCTCTCCATGACATTGCAGCCATCACGTGTCCATCATCCTTTGCGAACAATATAACTGCGTATTGTTCGTTTTGAAGATCCCTCTCTGTAGCCCACATTTTTTAAACTACCCCTTATGTAATACCTCCTAACCGCGGTCTTTAAGGTATTAAAGAAGTGAAGTTAAATGCACATTAGTTCGAGTCTACTGCCTGTAAAGTAGTTTCACTGCAGTTTATAGGTGCAGAACAGTGAAAGCACCTATCCAAAAGGAATTCGTTTTAGTGAATTTGGGAAGCCCTGCTTCAAATTTAAAGGGAACCTGCAACACTTTTTCAGCATTGTCAGAACATAAAACGCTGCCGATCGGTAGTCGAGGCTACCGAGGACACGCAAGTCAAATATTATTCGAGGCTACCGAGCGCACGCAAGTCAAATATTATAGCGCAGCACATGGCGTGCGATTCAGAATAAACTCCCAAAGTCAGCTAAAAATTTCTCCTCTCGAAAAATGACTCTAAAAGCTCAGAAAGCACGTGTGGCGTATTTTCGTTTCCCGTGCCATCCCTCCCTGCTTAGCTTCCAGTGTTTTCGTCAGAATGGGAAGAGAGAATGCACCTCCAGCATGCGACAAATCTTTACAGCTCCGTGCGTACTGGATGGATCCTAAAAATATTTGCGGCGGTGAATTCATCAGGCAATAAATAAGCTTCTTTAATGAATTCATTCCATGGCTACTTGACAAAATGCGGCACAGCCCCTTTAAGTGAAAATATTACTTTCAGATCAATTCATTTTATTAGGCTTAAAAGCTAGTTAGGACGGCTTATAAGCTCTAAGTATAATCTTAAAATGTCAAGTATTTTAAGGGTTATGACTCGCATCCTGCTGAAAGTAAAATCCTGCTACTACTCAAAGTTGTCTTGACTTCTTTTGAACGAAATAAAAAAAAAGGGGATTTTCATAGATGCTTCATTTCATTGTTCTTTAATATTGTGCAAGAAAGTTAGGTCATGATAAATATGCCCATTTTTTTTTATATGTCATATATACTATTCGAATTCGATTAGAAATTATTCGACCAAAATCACTATTCACACAAGCCTATTCGTTCGTATATGTCACTTTGAAGAACTTACAAACTTGCGCATTTGCCATAAGGGTCTCAGTAGATCACGCAGTGATTCTATGACTTGGGCGTAAGTGCAGTGATGCCAGCGTGGAAATTCATGGGAGCATGATGACGGCTACCAACGAATGTGGCGACAAGTCATCGCGACAAAGCTACCAATGATCTACAAAGCTACCAATGCTATCTCAATCAAAATCACGTACTGCCTGCACGGCAGTACGTGTGGCTTAGTAGTTTAGCGCTGTTATGGTTCACGTAAGCGTACCGACCACGCCATCCGCTGCCACACCCTTGAGTGCGAAACTGCAAGTGCGGATCACTCGTGGAAACGAAGGCAACTCGCCGCCGCCACATTGGCTCAACAAAATTGTCTTCACACCTTAGCACGGTCCTGTGCTGAGCAAGCACAAAGCAAAAATATCTCTATGCAAGGGCAAACACACACGTATATGTTACAGGGCACGGCACTAATGGAGTGAGCTTAGTAGGCGATGCACTGTACGCAACTAGTTAGGGGCCTGCACAGCTTTACGTACAACAGTAACACGTTTCATGCATAGCCACACCAGTTTTCGCCAACGGATCACCATAGAAACGTATGCGCACATGTCGAAGCCTGACGAGTCGTCCGTCAGCTGTGCCGCTACTTCACCATGTATGCCCTCTCCATAGTTCCAGAATGATTTTATGATAGCGGATATGGTCATGCGAATGAGCTGAAGTGTTTTTCTGCGCAATGGCAAACACAAAAAAGGACATGCGCTTTCGGTAACATTACAATGGCATCATCACATACAGTTTTCTGTTGCTAATGGTGATGCATGTAAGGTGACGGACAGATTACTGCGTAGTTTTGGTGCATTCCCGAAAGTGCCTTTGAAAATCTGTCGTATGCATACCGCGCTGCAACGTCTCCTGCAATCAACCCTTCATTACATCGTTGCTACGATCTTGCTCTTTTGGCAACGTCAGTTTACTGCTGTCTGTAGCCAGTGCGCCGAAAGGGGTCGCGAGGCGGCAAAATAGTGCCCTCGCCACCGGGAGTTGTGGCTTTGTCAACAGAAAGGCGTATTTGGGGTGTCTTTCTATCACAAATCAGTAATCATCTATCTCAAGCGCTTACCTCGCGTTATCGCTGTGCGCACAGTACCCCTCGGTGACGACCATGCAGCTATCAGCGTAACACAGCATTCTTGATTTGAAAATGGCGGGCGCGGTCCTCGAAAAAGGCAACAGGAGCAAACGAGATAACAAGTATTGCTGTGTAATTGAAAAATGCTCCAAGCACTCCTGTTTCTCTTGGTAGTTTGGCTGGTGAGAACAGGGAAGAAAATTAGAAAGCAAACTATAAAATAGGGGTCTTTCGAGCCAAAACTCAAAGTGTGGGAACCTGTATAAATTGGGACCATCTTAGATGCTTTATTAATATTAAGCACTTAAGTACACTGGTGTTAATTGTTGACACAATCAAACCAGTGGCCTCATGCTCACTAGTCATCATGGCAGGTACAAAACCTTTTTGTTTTGTAATAAAGTCCTACCACATAAAAAAAAATATACAAAGGGCTTGCTCAACATGTGGAATGAACCCAAGACATCACAGTCACAAGCTCAACTATTAGTCTGATGCTTTCTGGGAAGTACAGAGGGCGACATTTTTTTTATTTTTGTGTGAAATAACTGACTATAATAACAATTGTTCTGTTTCCAACCTAAAATAACAATTTTTCTGCTTCCAACCTAAATATATGATTAGGTAAAAGGTTACTGGCGGAAAAAAAATGCACCTCTTCATTATTCGATATTCAATTCATATTCGAAGCTATTGATGTGTGTTCGGGGGTCTGCCATGAGAACCAGAGCCAGCCAGAGTCTCGGGGAGATGCCGAGAAGAGGAGTTGGGAGCTGCTAACAGTAACTTTTATTCACATTATTTATAGGTAGCGTGTTGCTACATGGTGGGGTTAGCATCATGGAAGCCCTCAAGCTTCTGTGAGTTTCTCGGAGCTTGCGAGAGCTTGTCGAGAGCGTCTCAGCGCTCACGTTTTGTCTTGGCCTTCTCAGGATTCCCTCTAGGAAAAAAAAAATGGAGGCCAGGACAGTCTAATAACAATTGCCATCTTCACCTCTGCCCCCAAAAGGGGAAGGTGAAATGCCCCCTCATTCCCAACCCATGGAAGGAGAAAGAGGCAAGTCCAATTCGTAACATGGCGAGAGAAAAAAAGCTCCACACCGCCCATGACACTGCACAGCACGAGGACGTTGAGTCCTACGAAGAAATCAACTTTGTAGCCAGTTCCAGTGATGAGTGTGCGGTTCCAAGCAGGCTGTGGTTTGTGGAAACGGTGGCATGACGGAACCACGGAAAATCTGAGAACGCACTCAAACACGGATCTCAGTCACTCGGCTTATTGTCCGCGGCACTCCGACGAACAGAGACATACAGAGATAACCATCCTCTTTAAGCCTTTTATAGGTAGCCAGTCAGTAAGGTTAGTTCAAAGGGTTCTACCATGGGAGACAGCTGCACCGCGAAATTCGAGGTACGACTTGCGTGTTGTTGTCATTCATGGTTCACCTCTGGAAGTGCTGTCCTGCAATCGTCTCACGTCCAAGCGGCGCCATGTCAGGGAGGACGATCATAACACTATGTATTCCAATTCGATTCGTATTCAAAAATTTTGATATTTGCACACCCTTAAAGGGCATCAATTAGGTACCACAAAGCACCGAAGGATGCATCAGAGCTCTGTTACACTAGTGAGTGCGTTCAGCATGAACACTGGAGCATGTGCCGCACATTGCTATCAATGATGCATCACCGCTTGCCTAATCGACTGCAAAGCTTAGCATAGTGCATTTGTGGCAATACTACTTTACCATCATGCACAATGCTGTCACCTGAGCACACCTTTGTAAAAAATTAATGATGTAATCTGCATGACAACAAATGAAACCAACAAACAATAAGGTCAAAAAAAGCAGTGGAGACATTATTTATTGTGTTTCTCTGCAGTGTAATGATTATGACCCCCAAAAAGAAATAATCACTACACTTCAGTCCTCTCCTCTCCTTGGTTATATTTTCTCAAGGCTTCATTTGTTGTCTTTAACAAGGCAACAAGCCCTTCTAATGTGCACAACAGCAGGATAACTGTGCCACAAATAAACTGTGCATGTGAAGAGCTTGCGTGTGTGTGTAGGTAAGCAGCGCTGATAGTGCAGTGTGGGACACGCTTCTGTGTTCGCAGTAAGCATACTCGTGACTGTGCCTTTTGTGGACTGCCAACAGTACATCCCCGCAACATGCTCACAGCAACTTCTGCAGAAAGGATACAAGTCCAAGGTTCCGTCGTCAGGGGCGATAAAGCACAAGACGTATGCCTGTTGCTCTTTCTTCTCAGGGTCTGAAGCCTCCTTCATGAAAGCCTGGTGGAAACACATTGCAGTGGTCGTGGCCTTTTCGCCTAAACTGTGCGGTTGAATGGGCCAAGAGCAAGGCATTAGTAGCATGTACCTATTTGCATAAACACTCCCTCCAGTAGCGCTTACTCGTTTTAATGACATCAAGCATTTCTCCAGTGTTTCAGAGGGTTGACAGTCCCATAGAGACGCACACATTTGCGTCGCTTATTTTAGGTCAAAAACTTGAATGTAGTGGTAAGTTTCATTGGCGATTCTGACGTTGCTGATCAACCGAATGTGATGTTTTCTGTAGAAACAACAGCCCTTCAAGTCTTATGCTGGTGTGAGACTTCAAAAATTAATTTCAAAGTTTGGCTGTGCAGAAGTAGTAATAAAATACATGGCTACAAAATTTGCAAGGAATGATAAAGATTGACAAAGTCTGAATTAGAGCTCAAATTATTTTTAAAATTTTATTTTAAATTTTATTAAAGGGGCCTTGAAACACTTTCTTGAGTAACCATAAAATTCACTGTAAAGCCTATTTCCTCACAAATTTGACGCCACAAAAATCTTAAGAATCCGTCCACTACGAGCAGAGTTATAAAGATTTGTCACACGCTTCCATCGCATTCTCTCTTCTCTCATCCCGACAAAAGCACTGAAGGCTAAGCAGGGAGGGATGGGAGGGGCAAAAAAAAAAACGTCACGTGCGCCTCGTGACCTTGAGCACTTTTTCCCCTTCATTTTTCCTCCAGTGGGCAACTTTTTCAGTGCTATTGCGCGCGGAGAAGTGACGGCCTTTTGCGGTGATCTCTGTAACGATTGAGTCCGCTATGTTCAACTCAGCCAATGGCTGATAGATGGGCATTCTATGAGTAATTTTTGAGCGTCTTCCATCATTTGTCGAAGGAAGAGACAGCAATTTTTAGCTGACTTTGATAATTTATTGTGAATTCTACGCCGCGTTCTGCGCTATAACATTTGGCTCGCGTGTTCTCGGGAGCCTCCACAACCAATCGGTAGCACTTTTTGACCATGCTCAAAAACTGTTGCAGGGCACCATAAGTATGTTTTCATTTTTTAAAATTTCTCTTAATGCATTTTTTTAAAGATCTCCTATAGGCAAGTTGTTGCAATTTTCAACAAAAGTAGAATCCAACACTTTGGTTTTCATACTAAAAAGAAAAACAAATACACATACACCTAGGCTACTTGTTCTAGTTCCAGTTATGTAAGTGCCGTTAATTATTGCCAGTCAGAATTTTTGTTTGCTTATGCCTTACAGTTCCCAAGAAAAGTACATAAACCTTGAAAGTGTTCTTTGGAGAAAAATACCTTTTAATAACGATACCTTGGTTTGGGCGAGTTAGTCTATACTGCGAGAAAATTAGACGACGCAGATCACCGAGGAAGAACAAGCAAAAGGAAAGCACGTCAACTTAAATCTCAGAGTTGCAAGTTGACTATCCTTTCGCGTGCTCTTTCCCACTGATTTACGTCATCCAATTTTCTTGCAGTACTGATTAGGTCTTTTAAAAAATTTTTATTCTTTCAAAATTCTCTGAGCTGTAGTATTCATAAGTGTCGGCATTGCAATACCCCTCCCCAAATTCCAAACTGCAACCAAATTCAGTTTTTGATCAAAATATTCACAGCAAAGACCTCCTGCAAGTATTCAAAATGAAAGGACTATGTCGAGATACAGCTACTATTTCTGTAAATATGTCGAAAAATAAGTAAGAAAACCTATTTTTGAAACCGTGAATACCCAAGCATGATACCACATGTGAATGCCCAAGTGTAATTTTCTGAGAGATATACTAATTGACAGGTGCGGCGATGGCGTAGTGGTTAGAGCATCCGCCTCGCATGCAAGAGGTCCGTGGTTCAAATCCCGGTACCGCGCAGTTCCCAACCGGATTAAAGAAAAAAAAACCCGCGTGTTGATGGAACTGCATTAAGAGGCCTGGGGTGCGGCCTCACCGGCAAACACCGCCGAGAACGCACTCCCTCACCAGAGAAGGATTGGCCACCCTGGTGCAGTATCTGGCCACTACCTCCCACATGCTTACGTCAAATAACTCACGGCCCTCAGTCCCCAGCAGCTGCGAAGCAACTGACCACGGCGGCGGTCAGATCTGCAACGCAGCAGAGGGTGCTAAGAATCTCTGGATCTGGACAGGCCGCCATTGGAACCTGAACTTGGCAACGTTTAACGCTAGAACCTTATCTAGTGAGGGAAGTCTAGCTGTACTATTCGAGGAGCTAGAGGGTGTTAAATGGGATATAATAGGGCTCAGTGAGGTTAGGAGGACAGATGAGGCCTATACAGTGCTACAGAATGGGCACGTCCTTTGCTACAGGGGCTTGGCAGATAGAAGAGAACTGGGAGTGGGGTTCCTAATTCACAGAAACATAGCTGACAACATAGAGGAATACTATAGCATTAATGAAAGGGTGGTAGGTATCGTAATTAAACTGAATAAAAGATACAAGATGAAGGTAGTACAGGCTTACGCGCCTACATCCAGCCATGATGACGCATCAGTTGAAAGCTTCTATGAAGACGTGGAATCGGCAATGAGTAAGGTAAAAACACAGTATACTATAGTGATGGGCGACCTTAATGCAAAGGTAGGGAAGAAGCAGGCTGAAGACCAGGCAGTAGGAGATTATGGCATCGGTACTAGAAACGCCAGAGGAGAGCTGCTAGTAGAATTCGCAGAACGCAATAATTTACGGATTTTGAATACCTTCTACCGAAAGCGAGAAAACCGCAAGTGGACATGGAGGAGCCCTAATGGCGAAAATAAGAACGAAATAGACTTTATAATGAGTGCACACCCTGGAATCGTGCAGGATGTGGAAGTGATTGGCAAGGTACGATGCAGTGACAATAGAATGGTACGGTCTCGAATTCGCCTAGACTTGAAGAAGGAACGACAGAAACTGATACGCAAGAAGCCAATCAATCAGCTAGCACTGAGAGGGAAAGTACAGGAATTCAGAGTGTCACTGCAGAACAGGTACTCGGCTCTCAGTGAGAAAACCAACCTTAGCGTAGATACAATGAATGATAATCTGACGAGTATCATTATGGAGTGTGCAGTGGAAGTTGGAGGCAGGGTAGTTAGACAGGACACTGGCAAGCTTTCACAGGAAACGAAGAACCTAATTAAGAAGCGTCAAATCATGAAAGTGTCAAGTACAACAGATAAAATAGAACTGGCAGAGCTTTCGAAGTTGATTAATAGACGTAAAGTATGCGATGTAAGAAGGTATAACATGGAGAGAATTGAACACGCTCTGAAAAACGGAGGAAGTGTCAAAACATTGAAGAGGAAACTTGGGATAGGCAAAAGTCGGATGTATGCACTAAGGGACAAAGAAGGCAAAATAACTACCAATATGGATAGGATAGTTAAGATAGCGGAGGAGTTTTACAGGGATCTGTACAGTAGCCGAGACAACCACGACCTTAATACTATAAGAACTAGCAGTAACCCATATTACACCCCACCAGTAATGATAGAAGTCAGAAAAGCTTTGGAGAGCATGCAAAGGGGCAAAGCTGCTGGTGAGGATCAGGTAACATCAGATCTTCTGAAAGATGGAGGACAGATTGTGTTAGAAAAACTAGCCACCCTGTTTACGAGGTGTCTCCTGACGGGAAGAGTACCAGAGTCTTGGAAGAACGCTAACATCATCTTAATACATAAGAAAGGAGATGACAAGGACTTGAAGAATTACAGGCCGATCAGCTTGCTCTCTGTAGTATACAAGCTATTTACAAAGGTAATTGCTAACAGAGTAAAGAAAACATTAGAATTCAATCAACCAAAGGAACAAGCAGGATTTCGAACAGGCTACTCAACAATTGACCACATTCATACTATCGATCAGGTAATAGAGAAATGCTCAGAGTATAACCAACCACTATACATAGCTTTCATAGATTACGAGAAGGCGTTTGATTCAGTAGAAATATCAGCCGTCATGCAAACACTGCGGAATCAGGGCGTAGATGAAGTATATATAAACATTCTGGAAGAAATCTACAGGGGATCAACTGCTACCATAGTGCTTTATAGAGAAAGCAACAGAATACCAATCAAGAAGGGTGTAAGGCAGGGGGACACAATTTCCCCAATGCTGTTTACCGCGTGCTTACAGGAGGTTTTCAGAAGCCTAGAATGGGAACAGTTAGGGATAAGAGTCAATGGAGAATACCTTAGTAACCTGCGCTTCGCCGATGACATTGCATTGCTGAGTAACTCGGGGGACGAATTGCAACTCATGATTACGGAGTTAGACAAGGAGAGCAGAAAGGTGGGTCTTAAAATTAATCTGCAGAAAACGAAAGTAATGTACAACAACCTTGGCCAAGAGCAGCGCTTCGAGATAGGTAATAGTGCACTTGAAGTTGTAAAAGACTATGTCTACTTAGGGCAGGTAATAACCGCAGAGCCGAACCACGAGATTGAAGTAACTAGAAGAATAAGAATGGGGTGGAGCACATTCGGCAAGCACTCTCAAATTATGACAGGTAGATTGCCACTATCCCTCAAGAGGAAGGTATATAACAGCTGTATCTTGCCGGTACTTAGCTACGGAGCAGAAACCTGGAGACTTACAAAGAGGGTTCAGCTTAAACTGAGGACGACGCAGCGAGCAATGGAAAGAAAAATGCTAGGTGTAACCTTAAGAGACAAGAAGAGAGCAGAGTGGATTAGGGAACAAACGGGGGTTAAGGATATCATAGCTGAAATCAAGAAGAAGAAATGGACATGGGCAGGGCATGTAGCGCGTAGACAGGATAACCGCTGGTCATTAAGGGTAACTGACTGGATTCCCAGAGAAGGGAAGCGGGTTAGGGGGAGACAGAAGGTTAGGTGGGCAGATGAGATTAAGAAGTTTGCGGGTATAAATTGGCAGCAGCAAGCACAGGACCGGGTTAACTGGCGGAACATGGGAGACGCCTTTGTCCTGCAGTGGACGTAATCAGGCTGATGATGATGATGATACTAATTGACTGTTACATGATTGCAAAATCTCAATAATAAGTTTTTTTTGACCAAATAAAGTCGCACAGGTTGTATGGTGGGGCAAGCGCTATATGTCAGTTTTAACTGAATGGTTTCAGAGCGACTGCAAGTATTCATATAAAATTTCATGTAACATAAAATTTCATGCGCTGACGAAGAATGCCACTTGGTATCATGTGATACCCTTTTTTTTTTATGCCTTCGTTGCCTATTCTCTTTATAGCCCACTACCAAACTTTCAAAGTGGGTCCACGTATTCGATGAACAATCAACTGCAAAAGTTTGCAGGAAATTAGATGCCCAAAAAATGAAAATTTCTGCTTTATCAATGATCAATGCTTGTAATCAAGCTAGTGACTGTATAGTCAGAATGCCAAGTGCAGTATAGAACATCTATTTCAAAATTACATTGCCAGACAAAGCAGGAATTCAGCTTTATTGAACGTTTCGTATCCTGCAAACTTTTGCGGTAGATGGTGCCTTTTCTCAGCAACCACCGAGAGGAATGTAATGATATTCAGCTGTGTTAATGTAGATACACGTAGGTTCTATCTAAACTACGAAAATAGGACATCCTTTAGGAAGTTACTATGAACAAAAAAAAAGTACCGCCATTCGCAAGGCTATAACGGGTGCATCATGCTTTGTATACAGCTTCACTTTTTACGATATCAGCAATTTCTTTAGTTCAGATTGTTTCCCACTTGATGAGGATCATGCATGCAAACTTTTATTAGAATTTATTTACAGTGTGTGGCGCACTTTGGCTTGGCATTTAAACCACTTGGAGTGGCCACTCGACACCGGGCTTCTACATGTTTGTTCCTCAGAGATTTTTTGCTGACAAACATGCAAAATCGACTTTTTGGGGTGGTTACCGTACCCCCTTAATCAGTGCAGTATTTACATCAGCCAACAAAATGTCCTATGGCAATAAAGAAAAATATGAAGAGTGAGAATTCTGACGTAGAACTACAACATGCCTTGACTGAAGCTAGGCAAATCAGTGATTGGGTTGTCGTAATGCTAGAAAATTTCTTTAGCTGGCGTCATCACACCACACATGCTTATCACCTGCCAATCCTGCCCGGCCATTTAAACACATGCAACGCCATAGCAACAGCCAGGGCAGGATATTAGCAACTGGTACAGATTTGCCTAGCTTTACAAGAGCACGAATGTGAATAATGACATGTCAACAACAATCTAGCGACAGTATGTTAGATTTAAGACTGGGTCAGAAGCCTCGCCTTTAACTGTTCGCAGTTCTTTTAAATGCAATAGTACTTATAGTTCGACACAACTGTCCTAATCAGGGGAAGGACAAAGCTTGCATTTTTTTTTTTGGCTATAACCAGGTAGAGATGATGAAAAAATGTGTGCGAATGTGTAATATAACGATCTGCATAATCACGATAAAAGGATGTAAAAGCAATACGTACGTCATTTCCATTGGGTCAACATTGCCCCTTGTGTCCTGCAGGTCTCGGGTCACTTTCTTGATGAGAAAGCATCGAAGATCCGTCTCAGCGACTGCTCCAAGGTCAGTGGCAAGCAAGGAGAGGCTGTGAAAAACAAAAGTCTTTTATTCAGAAACGTCTCCCTACTGATTTGCGAATGAGCAGCAGCATTTTCTACGTACTGTCTCAGGTAAAGTGCATGCACACTGGGCAAAACTTGAGGGACCCCTGACAGCGAAAGTTTTGTTTGCAAATTTTTCAGCGTAATTCGTAGCTTTGTGTCTGGTAACACCGAAATTGAATCCTGTGGAGGTACTGAAACTGCCTTGTAAAGTTGTTTGCGCTGCGTGGTGCATGTATCTCGCCCAAAAAGCCGCATTTCGGGTTACAACCACCGGGCGATAGATGGAGTTGTGTTCGCGTTGAGCACCACTATCATCATCATGGTTGGTAGTAGAGTGGCAGTGCCGGCGGCGACCCCTTGCGGAAGCAAGCCTTGGTGGCGAAGAGAGTTGAGTGAGTCTCTTTGGCGCGTGGCAGCTGCCGCAAACAGTTGTCTCTAGCGGGGGTTCTCGGCGCGTGGTACCACGGCCTGCGCGTCGGGGGCTTTCGTGGTAAGTCAAGCGTTGGCGCCGCCGCATTGGGTGTGTTATTGTGTTTGTCGTTGAGTGTATGTTAATAGAATGTACGGATGTCCTAGTGTATTTATAATGATTGATGTATCGATTCGGCGGACGATATCGTCGTTGTAAATTAGTTAAATAAATGTGTATCGTTGTTTGATTTGTACCGACTGCGTCTGCTGTGTCCGTTCACTCTAAGAGCGTGGCACTCGCTCGCCATTTCAAGACCCCACAATCCTAAAGGCTTAAATGCATGAATTAATTCTAGCGTCATCTATTCACAATGATTCTGTGTCTGTTCGAAATGCCAATCTAAATAGCACAAGATACTAGCCCCCCACGGCGGGGGAGCGCATGAAACGACATCTGCTCGAGCTTTGTTGATGCTGAACATACCGTTTTCAATTTCAGAGACTCATGTGTGGTTAAGAATGAGTATATAACACCTCGGGTTTAACGGTGGCAAAGAATTAAGTGATGTGGTAGCTATGAGCGTGTCTACCTCAAAAAAAAAAAACAAAACAAAAAAAAAAACACACACACACACACACACATTCCTTGTGTAAGCAGCCCATACAACCTTGAGAGCACCTGACAACAGAGCATGAAGGGTGATGAACAATAGTCCAAACTGGCTGCCAGTCAGGGAATCATGCTTGCTCTGCAAATGTTCTCTGACGTCAACAATACTCACCTTCCTCGTTGAACGTCACATGGAGCCTCGGTTTACATCATACTTGTAAAGGATGCCGAGAAGTGCTGCCAACTTAGGTAAGCACTCACGCTTACTTTAAAACCAAACTAAAATACCCTTCAGTTACCGCCACCACCACTGTTGTTCGGAAGAGTAACAATCGCAACAGGCTCACTGTCGACCGCGCAAGATACTGTTGAGCCACAGGGGAGCAGTACACACTCGGGCGTTTGATTTATGGCGGTTAGGTACGTAGACCCATCGAAGAAGCGAATAAGCCCTGCTGTGATCGCAATGCCTCTACGTAGGGTATGATCGTAAGGGAGAATTAGTACGTCGCCATCCACAATGTCGGTGCAATTAACACTTATAATTTCTTCGATGTATGGCCGAAGTACATAATCTGACTTGGTGACAAGGCGGATGCGTCCATCGTGTTCAAGCGGAGAAGAGTCAGTGGCATTTAGATGCAGGAGGCGCTGATGACATGATATGAAAGCGGACGCAGAAGACAAGAAATCCCACCCAAAAATGAGAGCGTGGGTGCACTCACGAAATACCGCGAAAACAATGTGATGACGAATGCCTTCTATGCAGACACGAACGGTACACTGTGCAAGTGGACGAATGAGAGCGTTGGTCGCCGCACGTAGAGGTCGGCCGCCATAAGGTGCGGTGACTTTTCGAAGGCAGGAACAAAAATCAGCACGAATAATCGAAACGGCAGTGCCAGTGTCTACAAGAGCCTCAACACGTACACCTTCTACAAACACTACTATCAAATTCGATGGCCGCTCTGGAGGAATTGTTAGCTGTCCAAGGGATGCAGTTTTCCCTCCTAAAACTGCATTGGGGAATTTTCAGCGTGGGTGTTTGTGGAATGGGAGACGGGCCGTATAGGCGACACTGAACGGCGACCTGGCGAAGGCGACCTGCGGTGAGACGTACGGGATTTCCCAGGCATGTCCGTATGGTAAGTAGGTGACGGTGAACGGTAATAGGACGATCGGGAGGGTGTTCGTAGGTAGTTCATGGTCGGACGAAAGCTTCGATGTTCTTCGGGAGCGTAGCCGCGTTGCTCGTCTTGTTGGCGCCTTCGACAAAATCGAGCGATATGTCCTCGATAGCCGCAGTAGTAACAGATTGGTCGAGGTGGGCGCTGAGGTGCGTAGTAAGGTGGTGCACGCGCTGGCGGTAATAACGAAGCCACAGGCGTATAGTCTGCTGTTGTAGGCACAGAAACGGTGGGTGCGGTAGAGAGCGCAGCAACTTCAGCGTACGTGCGCGTCTAACGCACGCAGGGACTGTTGGAACACGTCGCACGCGATGCGGAGGCGATCTCTTGTTTAATCAGGTCCGCAAGCTATCTTTTTCAGAAGGGAGAGTATAACTTCCGCAGCACAGGAAGAGCAGCGCCCGTGCAGCTCTTCACGAACGATGTCGCAGATAAGCGCACGCAAGTCGAGGGGTGCAGGCAAACGAACGTCGGTGGCATCGTAGCAAAGGCGAAGAGACTGAAGCTCGTCAAGTCGCTGACAGGTGGTTATCACATCCTGGGTGGTGGCAGGATTTTGCGTGGCGAGGGCATTAAAGGCGACGGTGTTAATGCCTTTAATAATGTGCCGTATTTGGTCGTTCTGAGACATGCCGGTGTTAACGCGCTTGCACAGTGCAAGGACATCCTCAATATAAGAGGTGTAAGATTCACCTGGCAGCTGCGTGCATTCAGCGAGTGTCTTCTTTGCTGCCTCAGTGCGAACTGCAGGGGCACCAAATATCTGACGAATTTGCTGCTCGAAAGTGTCCCAGTCGAGAAGATCCGGGTGGTGGTTCCAGAACCAAGTTTTCGCAACATCGGACAAGTAAAATGGGACGCTGCGCAACTTCTGTGGATTGTGTCACCTGTTCAAATCGCTGACGAGGTCGTAGTTCTTGATCCAGTCTTCGACATCATCGCCTCGGAGACCGGAAAACACAGGTGGATCACGCAGGCGAGTGTTGTTGGGCGGAGCGGGTGGCGGTGGCTGCAGTAGGATGGCGACATTGGATGGGCCAGGGTTTTCTTGGGCCGCCATGGCAGGGGGTTGTATGCGACGACCCCCTGCCATGGCGGTGGCTGCAGTAGGACGGCAACGTTGGATGGGCCAGGGTTTTCTTGGGCCGCCATGGCAGGGGGTTGTATGCGACGACCCCCTGCCATGGCAGCCCAAGAAAACCCTGGCCCATCCAACGTCGCCGTCCTACTGCAGCCACAGCGGAGCTCCAGCGAAAATGGGCGAGAGGACTTGAGGGAACGAAAAGCACAGTCCACCACTTGTGAGGAACCGGTTTATTCAGCCAGGCTCGAGCTAAAACACGCTGGTGGTGATATTTTGAGATGAAGATGTACAGGTGATGATGATATCAAAGAGAATAAAGAGACATTCGCTTGTCGCGCTCACAATATCAAAGCTTACCTTCTATCCTGTCCTCAAGATTGACAAATTCTGTATGTAGTGGTCATATGTTTCTTTGGTTTCGTTATTTGTAGTGTTATGAATCTTTCTTTATTACTGTACAAGTATGTATTCCATTTGCTCTGTACAAAAACAATGTTACGCATGCATTATTAGTGTGTTATATTGTATTTCTTTTTATATTGTATGCTCTTAGTGGTGCTTTCGGGTACTTGGGTCCCGTCAGGCAGAGGAAATCTGCCTTTTGCCCTTGTGTCCAAGACATATATTTGTCTGAAATAAAGACAACAACAACAACAACAACAACAACAACAACAACAACAACAACAACAACATTTTCTCCTGATGCTAACGTGGTGTTTTCGGTGCCATTCGAGCGTGTTACGTAGTGTTTTTGTCGTCAATGAGTAAGTTGCTAATACGAGCAATATTGTTTCTCTCCTTGGAGTCCCTTAAGCACCCGCTCTTTGTATACTTCAAGTAATACAGTTTGTAATATTATCGCGGCTTTACGTCCCTAACCCACTATATGATTATGAGAGACGCCGTAGTTGAAGGCTCTAGAAATTTTGACCATTTGGTGTTCTTTTACGTGCACTGACGTCGCACAGCACACGACGCAGTACAGTGTGCACGCTTTACCTCAAGGCACTGCTGTACTGAGGCAAAGCTAATCACGCTTTCAGTTAGCATAGGCAAAATTTGCAGAGATGCTAATAACTAGCATACCGCCTTAGCCAAGAGCTCCAAAGCAACTGTCTCGACATAAACGCTGCCGCTATGACAGAAACAATGTTCAAAACAGTATTCGAGTGTAGTATATCTATAATTGTGCATTGCAGAAAAACCCTTAAAACAGGAGCTCGTTGAAAAACTCGCGCTACGGCGGAAAACCTGGCACGTTATGTCTGTTTAGTTACGCGTTCCTCGAAAGAAATATAAACAGAATCTTGCCAATGTCAGGACAATGTTTACTTCTGAAGTGCATTCACCTTTCCTTTGTTTGAGACTTCGGTGGTTTCACAGCGGCAGGTTTCTCCGATGCTTCGACGGCCGAAGTTTCGGTTCCCGACTGCTGTTGCAGCAGCTGCGTTTTGGGACTGTGCACGAAATAAAGTAAAAGATTACGGAACACTGCCACAAACAGGGAGCCGTCGTAATGCTACCAAGCACCGCTCACCTGTTTGTGTAAAGGTAGACGGCGTAGAACGTGCCCCGAAGCGTCGACGCTGACGACTGATTCGACTGTGTGCTAGCCGACGAATCGTACCCCGTACTATCCATACTTGACGCACGCTTGACGGTCGACATGCGGCACTCGCAGAATCTTGGATAAAGTAGGTCAGCTAAATGTGCAGTTGAAATCGCCGCGAGTGATTTCGGGCCTTAAGTCACGTCAGTAACGCCAGTACTGCGTGGCAAACACCTTTCAGCTGAGAGCGGACATTTTTAAACATGCGGTGCGGTGTAGTCAGTCTCGAATATTAAGATGCGTTTGTAAACAATGTTGCAAGTTACATTAAACTTGTAAATGTGTTTAAATTATATTATTTTCAATTATTTACAAGTTTACACCTCGCAGAGTTCAGAAGAAAACATTCGCAACACGGCTATTGATATACGATACTGACGTGTCAGAGAAAGCGCGTTGTTTCCGTTTAAATTTGAGCATCGAGCCAAGGCGGCCGAGGGAGCCAAATGCTTCGTGTTGTTGATGTCGTCTGTTAATTTTACAGCGTCGTATCGATTCGATTCGTTGCTGCCACAAAAATTATGGCCGCACGCTCTACCGGTGAAGACATCCGAAAAGTCTTATTCAAAGAGAAGCCGCAGTATGTCATCGGCACAGTAGGTGAGACCATGGAGTTTCCTACACTCGTGAGAAACTCTATGGGCGAGAGCCACTTTACTACTGCACTGATCGCTAATGCCGCTTATTTGCCTATGCGGGCTTACGCATAAAACTGGTTGCTATAGTTATGTATTCACTAATGTTGAAACACCCGAGCATAAGTGATCGCGTTAGGCCGACATCTCGGCTTCCTTGTCAAGACAACAGGCAAGCGAGAGGACGTAGACGCAGCGCATTCTTCCAACTAACATTTATTCGAAGGGAACACAAGTATATAAACAGATTAAAGAAAAGGAAGCGAAAAAATTCAAGGAGTTAGAAATGTTAATGAAATAAGAAATGTGCACGTTCAGAAAAGAATAAAACACGTTAGCGCCGTGCCGTACGTGGTAAACAGAAGTTCTGCTTCCGTTTTTGGCCCGTTATTCTATCTAATGTGTACCTACATCATTGGTTGTATCTACTTTTTGCTTTAGACACCCGATTTTTTCTTTCTTTTGGTTTGTGTGAGACGTTAGAGAGCAGAGATATGTCACTGTTCAGATGGCATACACTTATTCTAATGCACGTGCACTTCTTGCTCGTTGGCTTCTCCTACCATCGCCTTGTTCATACGTTTCGCTCTTCCCCCTCCCCTCGAAAAAGTATCAGTTCAGAAGGTACGAAATGTCGCAGTTCGCCAACACGAACAATGTCAGAGTTTTTACCTAAGGGCAATACAAAGTGGTTGATGTCATAGTTCACTGATGAGACCTTGCGTAGAATCTTGCAGGAACCTTCCATGACGGAACTAGCTTTGCCTTTGTTGGGATGCCATGGCGTCTTGTAATGGACAAAGCCACCGACCAGGAACTTGAGTGGAAGAAATTTCTCATCATGAGTGACGGTTTTTATTGTGATAGGCGATAGAATTATTAACTGCAGCCTTCTATGCTTCTTCAAAAGTTTCTTCTCACTGTTTCAGTAAAATTGGATCATTTCTCAAAAGAGCACATAGGGCATGTTTACCAGCATCCATACCAAGCACATGCATTGTCCTGGGTGCAACAGCCAGCCTCGCCTACCAGAGCTGTTCTTTTTCTCTCTATCACTGGACTGCTGAACCTTACACGAAGTTTATGGAACTCTGCTTGGACATGAAATTTTCTGTTTTTTAAGCTTACAAGACTACGCCTTTCGTTTTCTATTTGTAACTACAACATTGTTTCAGAAGGAGGGGGAATCGTGTGATGTAAGAAGGCAGCGATGGCCGTTAGAAGCCAGGAGGGAAGAATAAACATATGACGCATGAGCCACGGCATCTCTCCTATTCATAGCATCACACACACACGTATGTGTGTCTTCCTTTCAAATAAATTTGAATGAAAAAATGTGCTGCGTCTTCATCCCCTCAATTGTTGTCTTGTGTTTGTTCTCACTAAAATTACGAATAACATGTTCCAACTCGCCAAATAAGCAATGTTGTTAAGTTATATTTTTATTGAATGTAAACACCACTTCTGGACAACGAGCTTCATATATACATGATCTTAGTGGCATATTTCACTGTTATTTTTGTGCTCAAATTTATTCATGTGGCTCGTTCTTTCAATTTTCACGCCGTCTCGTGTTAAGAATTTGAGAATGATCTCTAAGCAGATGCACAAATTAGTTGTCAGTCAATTGTAATAAATATCAGCAAAAAAAATCTTGCTCTGGTTAATTATGCAGTTATTGGTAGTTGAATGAGGGATGTGACATTAGTGAACAAAGCTCTGAACAAACACTTCGAGAAGGGGACTTCCTGTTTTTCAGGTCAGAAGACTGTTTTTCTTGGCCACTAATTGATCACTGTTTCCAAGCTTCCATATTCCTGTGATTTCTAACATTGTTTTAGATTGATAGGATTTGACTCTCATGAACGAGTTATGATGAAACATCTTCGTGTGATCCCCTGTATTGTTCTACAGAAGTGTTATTGTAATTTACGAGTTCCAATGAAATCATTGTTTTGTTCATGTCACATTCTTTGCAACAGCATTACTTTTTTTCATGTGTAGGATCTCTGAAAACTTCTGACTTACTGTCAACAAGGGCAAGCATACAGTTCGAACACGACGTTGAAGTCAGCTTGAGCTCACTGGAGAAAGGTAAATTGAAGATGCTTTGATACGGTTCTTGCCATTATGTTTATGAGCGAGCAGTCACAGCAGCTGCACTGAATTAATGCATTTATAAACCAAACTTCGAAAGTTTACAGGTCATAGGCTGTACAACAGATGTTACGGGGCATGGTGCTTATCACATTATGAATCGCCGCATACACAGAAAATATTACTGGAGCAGCTTTCCCTTTGATCCATTTGAGTGTTGACACAGTTGATTTTGGCTATATGGCATCATTTCTCAAGATATTTCTATGACTTTAAAATTTTGTTGTAAATTTTGTGCCGCATGCTGCGCTGTAAATTTAGCTCGCAGGTTTGCAGGGGCCTCGATGGCCAATTGGGAGCATTTTCTGACAATCTTAACATTCCGTATCCCCTCTGTTTTACTCAGTCTTCGTCATTTTCATGCTGTACCTAAACATGCTGTAAACTTTTAAATCTTGTGCAAAAGTAACAAAATGAATTGGGGGCCCTTAAAAAGACGAACATTTGTCTAATAGTCGTCCATTGCTCTCCTGTTTTGTGTCGCAGTAAAAAGCGTAACATGTAAAGTGTCTAACCTTGCAGCGGTTTCTCTGAAAAGTGCGTAGAAATTTTTAAAACAAAATTTTTCTGTCCGCGTTATGTTTCCATCCATCGGTGGGATGAATGCCCACAACACTGATCGGTGCCGGTGAAAGTCGAAAACCGAAACCCCGTGCTGTTTTTGAAGGCTTCATCAAGTTTGGTTATTAATAAAACAACTACCTCAGTGGTCGTTCTAGGCGCGCACAAACTTTTTTGTTGTTCTCATGAGCGGCAGTGGACACCGTGGTCGCGTTTCACCGCCGTTTGTAGGCAGGCATGCAGCCAAACCAACACACCGCCGGCAGTGCCACCGGGTGCCTATTCGAATGTTTGAGAAGAAAAAAAAAAAAGCAAAAATCGGTCTCTGGCACAACTTAAAGCTGTCTCAAGTGCATAAAATACAAATTCAGGTGAAACGTGTTTGCTTTTAAGCAAAATAAGTCTACCTGCAAGGATTTCTTGTCCTACCAATACATTATCAAGACTGACCACTTTCACTGTTGGATGACGCTAGCGGTCACTTTTTATCGACTTTCATCATCAAGTTAAAAATTATTCTTTTTTTCTGGCAAGAAACCATGCTCGTTGCCGCTGATGTGATGAACGATCTTTCCATTTGCACTAGAATCTGAAAAATTTTATTTGAGCGGTAGGCAGTCCCTTTAAGAGTTAAACGTGATAGCGATATTCTGTTCCTAGTGTGCACTTCAAACACAGTGTATGAAATCTTTTCGAACTTGCTGTGCACCCACTACGTGGCCTTAAGGATGCAGTAGCGAGTGTACCTTTTGTAGTGGGTGACTGGCTTTAAACTATGAAGACATTATGATAATCCCATGTTCTGACAGCTGATGGCAATGTACACTTGTGCCACGCATTATCACGGCAATATTTCATGTTGTACTATATACAGGATGCGTGTGTTTGTAAAGCATAAAAGTTACTTTCACTGCATTTCCAAGCATGGGAAGTTCTTTCCACTGTATTTACAAACAGATGCGTGGCTGTGTGGTAGGACACAAACCACACAAACGACCTGGGTTCGATCCCCACTCATACCCAGAATACACACTTTGCTGTATGTCCTCTGGTACTATCATAACAAGCACTCAAGGTTAGAGTACGTACATTATTACCCACCCCACTCATTCATGTGCTGCTTTACACATTCAGGGTTCGTGCAGGTTTCCAAAGCGAATATTCAAGGACTTTCCAGAACAGGTTTTTCAAGGACTAAAGGTGGCACTCAATAACATTTTTTTATTCTAAATTTTTCAAAATCGACTCATGCATACCGCCATTATAACATACATGTCTAGTCTGCACTTTAGCTCACTTTAACTTCACTAGCTTCACCGCTGCTCAAACATTAGGAAAGGAACCAGTGTCGAAGATCATCAAAAGTCTCTCGCTTCGTTTGTTCATGGTTTAGCGCAGTAAAACTTTATTCCCCATGCAGTTTTGGAAAACGAAACCATGTCGACTCGCGCCAAATTACTGTTACGAAAATGGAGAGTTGGTCAGGTCGATGCCTATCCATACCTGCAACGTTCAATAATTCTGAATCTGGGAAGCATCCGTGATGGGAAAGAGGGGGGTCTTTCCGATTTGTTCTCCCCCTTTATTTTTTGCACCAAAATAAAAACATTGCGAAGAAATGGGAAGGGGAGGGGGGGGGGGGGGTCAGTAAACATCAACGTTGGTCTCATACCGGCTTGGAGTGGCTGAAACCTGGCTGAACACTCGAGGGTAGTGTTTCCCAACTACAGTATAAAGTGCGAGTCTCATAAGGGAGCGAACACACCACTTGTGTCTCTCAAAATTTTCAACATCAAAACAACTAGCAAAATCTATTTCAGTCACAAGAACGAACGGGACGACGCAACCGGTTGCCGGGAAAGTGCAAGTCGGAGCTTCACTTAAGGCCGACTGAAAACTTAATGTCTAAGTATAGCCAAAGTTACAGGATCAACAGGATCAATGTTACTTATTCTTTGGAAAGGAGGAAAGGAACGCCAAAACACTTTTACTACTTTTTGGACCTTTATCGCCTATACCACTCTGTTAGCCGCGTCATCTATTGCGATTTTGCACGCGGCGGTTGTGGAAACTGATTGTTTCGTTTTCAATCCACGTGCGCTGGCTGCACACGAACCTTCAAAACCAAGTTTGTTTTTTTTTTCTGTGATCGCATCTGCCGTGATTTTGTCCGCAGTGTTTGTGGAACGCAACGCCGCTTTAACTGGTCGAGCGTTGAAGGCGTGTGTTCTTTGAAAGTTCTGTAACATTGTCGCCACACATAGCCATGTCAAGAGCAACCACGGTTTCGTACACAGTGGTTGTGGCATACGATAACCGCAGTTCTGAGAGTGCGTGCTGTGGCCGCATGTGTCCTTCCGAAGCTTCGCACGCGCTGATCTTGGCCTTCGTTCCGCGGTTTGAGCACTAAAGTTCATACAAATAAGGCTTCAAATAAGGCTGTTTGTAGATGATTGTGTATTGCAGATGATTGTGTATTATTTAATTAAATAACATGCCGAGAAGACCAATCAGTATTGAATTCCAATCATTGTAATATATATGACTGGTGTACTAAGTGGAATATGAACCTAAATGCCGACAAATCAGTTTTTATGAAAATAACCAATAAGAAAAATTCTCTATCCTTCCCTTACAACCTTTCAGGACAACCTTTGAACGAAGTTACAGAATATAAGTACCTGGGTTTTACCATAACAAACACTTTCAGTTGGAACAAGCACATTTCAGACATTTGTGCGTCATCCTTTCGTAAACTGAGCCTTTTAAGACATAAGCTCAAACATGCTCCTGCAAGTGTTAGAATGCTAGCCTATACATCTATTGTAAGACCTAAATTGGAGTATGCATGTATAATCTGGGACCCTTACTCATAAACTAACATTAATGCACTTGAGGTAATTCAGCATAAAGCGGTTCGGTTCGTTTACTCTAAATACCGTTCGAGCGATTCCCCAACCCAACTCATGAGAGACCATAACATACCAACCTTAGAACTAAGACGTAAAATCCAAAGATTAAAATTTCTTTCTCAAGAATAACAAATTGTCAATGAGACCAGAACAATACATCCAACCATTTACCGCTCGCAGAAGAAGACACCGGCATGCCGACTCTCTAACGCCGTTCAATGCTAGAACTAAAATTTTCAAATTCTCCTTTTTCCCGCGCACTGTAACCGAATAGAATCAATTATGAGCATTATTCATAAATAGCATAGACTCAATTGAACATATTGTCTCTTGACCTGTTTTGTTAAAGTGTTAAATGTCTTTCTTATTCATTGTTTGAGTTATGTCCTTATTCTTTGCGCTTTTCATGTTCTTGATCTTCTGTTGTCCTTATTACGAGCTTTGTAAATACGTCCCTCCTGCTTGGGCCCTTCACTGGGCCTGCAGTATTATGTAAATAAATAAAAAATAAAAACAACCAGCTGCGATGAGGAAAAGAGCTCAAATCATCCTAATTTTGGCCCAGTGGACACAGTGGAACTTGGCTGCAATGCGTCCATTTGGCCGAAACGTGCTCTGCATCCCAACTGCCACCTTGCGATCATGATGACACTTTCTTTTGCCGGTAAATGAAAGAAATACGCTGCAACAACAGAATCCTCAGTTGCCATGAACACAATTTTGGATGGTGACCATGCCTCTTTGAAGGCCAACAGGGTGTTGCACGCACTGGCAAACGCCGATACACATGAATCATTCTGGCTTTTTTTGTCGTTATCGCACGGTTGACTATGAGAACGATGGAAATGAGGATTGCATCACTTAGTTTCAGTTGGGCCTGAACGTGGTTTTCACTCTTTTGCAATGCTTCAGCGTCGGTATGCTTCTAGGACCATTCAAATTAACAATGTTGTGGCCAAATATAATTGAAGTAATGAGAGTTTGATTCTATTAAACAATGTATGCGCTGGCCGGAGCTGGAGTTCACCTAAATTAGGCGATTTTTGAAATTAATGAGCTTTTACTGAATGACATTATATTTGCTACAAATGTTCCACGGCATTTAAAGTTTCCATTCCACGATTACACTTTGACCGGTAGAATTTCTCTTGTGCTAAAAAAAACAGCCATTAAACAATTGGTTGTTGGTTCTTTTAATGCCTATATTTTTCCCACTGCAGCGTACACTTCATCAACGTGCCTTTAATCGGACACTTCTTGCAGAGCTGCACGAGCAGAGGCTCCAGAAGCTGCGAGCGATGAGCGAAAAGCTCAAGGAGGATGACTGGAAGTACGAGCCAATCGAGAAACTGCTTTGCATGTAGGGATCTATGTCTATGGCATCCCTGCCGTTGTCACTGGTAAGCTTGTCTCGCTTGGGATTCTTACTAACCATTGTTCATGGTTCCTTTCACAATCTTCAGGTTTTCAGTTCATGTGTAACTGATATACTGCCAGTGTCATAATAGCTAATGGGGGGCACTTCACTTCGAAACACACTAGCATTAAAAAGCTTGTCTCGCAGACATTCCGGTGTCCGCTGTCGTTGGTGAAGCAAAAAATCACTGTTGCCCGTGAAATTCACGGTGCAAATAAATACTAATAAAAATGTTCTGTCTAACTGCATGGCTAGCAAACAAATATTCTACGAAGAAAGCACGCCAGTGCTCGAAACTGCCTTGTAAAAACACAGAGTCTGAGGCAGTTTATAGAATCTCACCAGGTGTCAAAACAAGTGAACTGCACAAAGAGCGGTCCACCCATTACTAAGTATGTGTGGAACCTTTGGGACGAATAGTGAGCACTTGGCAACTGTGCATCCAGTAGACATTCTAGGATAGTTTGAAATTGGCCAATTTTACGTCCACATCTGAGTCATGGCTGAAGGTGATGTGCATCGGGCCCGATTACACTGTCACATTCTACTCTTGAAGCTGAAGCCCACCCTGCTGGTGCAACAGTTGCAGTGCTGACCCAAAAATTAGGGTTTGATCATGGCCGTGGCGGTTACATTTCAATGGAGCTGAAATACTGGAGGCCCGTGCACTGTAAGTGCATATTAAAGAACACCAGGTGGTCAAAGTTTCAGCAGTTGTCCACTGCAGCGTGCTTCGTAAAATTATCACACTTTTATTAATGCTTTTGTTGCAGACATTATTTATGCCCGAGCATGTCGTAATGGGTGGGCCTTCATCTCACAAACTCCTCGCGCAACTCTCACATTTTGATGCCTAGTGAGGTTATACAGTGCTGCCAGGCAATGTGTTAAGGAGATTCATTATCAATGTATACTGCACAGTGGAGAACACAAACAACATACAGACGGGGACAAATCAGCAACTGGCCCAATCCTTCACTTTGATTAAGAAAACTCGTCGCACTAGATCATATGGAGTTTTCTTTTTCTCCAAGACAGTTTCAAGCACTGGCATTGCTTTCTGGTGAACACCTGCTCGCCAGACCTGGGTTGTGTGAATATTCGAATTCAAATTGTTGGACATTTCGAAGTATTTTAACAGAACGAATAGGTGTAACCCCCTGTAGTGGTGGTCTCGCTGCAGTAGAGGGGTGCTAAATCATGAAAATAATTCTTTTTAGAAAACCTGCAATAGCGTGAAGCTCTCCTTCAAGATAGAATGAAGGTTTTCCCCTCATGTCGATTCATCATTCCTGATGTTTAAAAGCTTGTTATACTGGCTTATATGCTCCAAATATGGTAAATTTTAAAATTAGCTACATATTTTATAGCTAATTACTTGCATTCTATCGAAAGTCAAATCCTACTACTTCGTACTATTTAAAGTCGTTTTCTCTTGCTTTGAACCCAAAAGAACGGCATTTTCACAGGCCTTGTCTAAATTATATATATATATATATAATTTAGGCAAGGCCTGTGAAAATGCCGTTCTTGCAGGTACATAGGGTCACGGCAAATATGCATCTTTCTTTACACTGCATGATGTATACTTTTAGAATTTGATTTCACATTCTACCAAAATCACTATTCACCAGTTCACCCCTGAAATTCACTCAAAATTAAGGTTATCTATTACATTATTTGCATCAATCTTAACTTTTGCTCATGGACAACACCACTCTTTCACTCACAACTGATGGCACTGACCCCAATTTCTGTGAAACAGTCTCTTTTACGCTATTGCATTATTAGAGCTACAGCTTTAATTTACATTTCTGTCTTACCCCAGAGTTCTATGTATCTTTAGATAATTTACATTTCCGTCTTACCCCAGAGTTCTATGTATCTTTAGATAATTCATTTTCGAGTGCAAATGTGCATTGAAATGGTTAGCCTTACATGTGCTCGGATTCTCTTTCTTTTCAGGGTCCTTGAGCGCAATTCGTCCCATGACCTGCATCAACAGAACGTATCACCACACCTACCTGCTCGTAGTTAGCACCGTGACCTCAAGATGGAAGTGTAAATATACAGGATTGCCGCTCCTTTTAAAGTTCAGACTTGTCACATTGTGGCTTAATAAAACTCTTACATGCACCATGACATCATGACCTGTCATTATTTTCTGGAATCTAGCATTCAAAAGATTACCTCACAGGACTGTACAGATGTTAAAGTAATCAAGTTTGCTTTAACACGAATTAAAATTTTTCGATACTTGGAAAAATCTACAACATGTAACTTGTCTGGAATAGTGGTTTCACTGTAAAGTGTAGCCACTATGCTATGAAACCACATATTCAGGAAAAAATCCATACCGCAGTGAAGGCGAATATTGCGCTTCATTCAGCATATTACCACACTAATTAATTTCAAAGTTTGAGTGTTATACAGTCCGAGTATAGCAGATTTCAAGACATACCATATTTTACGGCTTATCACTGCACTGCTATTGAAGTTTGCTTCGAGCAAAACAAAGTTATAATTGCAATGATCCATTGCTTGGAGAAAGGCACATGTAAAACAGCACTAGAGAAAAGAATTCAAACAAGATGCATTGGATTGTCCTGGCATTTTTCTGAACAAGAACAACACAATGGTCCCTGAGCCATTCCTTTTGTTTGTGTGAGCTATTTTGATCAGGCACCTAGTTTCAGCTACAAATTTTTAACTCACCAGAACTACACTGAGGTCAAGCAGAACGTAGGAAGTGAGAGAGTAGTTCATTTTCGGAAGCGAATGTCGCAATGCATTCACAAAAACTTTCCAATAAACTGGAAAATATGCATGCATCGTCTGCCACGGAGCATATTCATTGTGGCATCACGACATCTCAAATTATGTATGGTTGCCATTGCAACAAAAATGAGGATGTGAAATAAAGTGACTTAAAACGTATACTCTCAGGAGCACTGCATAGCTCCAGTGGGTTTGACATAGTGGCCTTACATAAAAAAATATATTTAGGTGAAAAGTTATTGTAATTAAAGAGCATTACTATCACTGAAGCACTTATAATTTACAGCTGATGATGAAGTTAAGTACTGCAAGTTAAGTACTTTTGCTTTGTCCTTTATCAGCACTTTTATTCTCAGATGTTGGGGTGGATGTCTCATTCTTTGCCTTCAACTGCGGGTTAGCGACTGAAGATAGGGGATCAGCAAAGCAGCAACATTTTCTGTCCTATACGCAGAGAGCATTGCACTACAAATTGAAAGAGGGAACAGTATACTTCACATAAACATCTGTAAATGTAACCCCGTACAGGCAAGCAAGCTCAGGTAATGCACAGTTTTGTTCACTTTACTCTTGCCTTTGCTTTTCCCTGCAGCCTGACTCACCTGAAAGGGGTCCTACAACACTTTTTCAGCATGGTCACAAAACGCTGCGAATCCGTAGTCAAGTCTCCCGAGAACACAAGAGCAATCATGCAATAAACCCAAAAGACCTAACTGGAGCTGCATAGTTACTGTGGCTGCCACACCGAGCTGCTTGTTCGAAAAAAAATTGCTCAAGGTCATGACGTGTGTGTGACATAGTAAATTCTACCCCTATGCCATTCCTCTCTGTTTAAATTTCCAGCACTCGTGAGGAAGAGACAATGAAATTGCAGCATGCAACAAATTTCTACAACTCCGGCTGTACTTGAAGAATTCAAAAATTTCTCGCAGCGGTTGATTCGCGAGGTGATTACCTTCTTTAACGAAGCCATTCGATGGTTGCCAGGAAAAGTGTTGCGGGGCCCCCGTCAAAGCTAGCAGGGCCTTAAAGTGGAAATGGCTTACAAATCAATCCCCCTTAGGCAACACATTGAATAACACAAACCTTATTTGAACTAGCAAGAACCGCCTCAGCTGAAACGCAGAACAGAGGACGGACAAAAACTGAACACATTTCCTCATAATGTGGCACTAGAAAACTTATATTTACATAGCCAGGTGCTAACACTTGCACACACTCGCACTAATAGCAAAGCAAGATTGGTGTTCAGTCAGTGGCAACTTTTCAAAACCATGCTGCCTAGGAAAGACCATTTCCAGATCCACCATAGCACAATGTTCTATTGGCAACCAAAAACTGTTAGGCTGCACGTCAAGTGAAAACTAAAACTGACCCACCAGGGTTGCATATCGCAGAGGCGTGCTGTCCGTTCCACTATTTATAGAAAGATGGAGTGTACACCACCCTTTCATAAATTAGATGAAATTAACTTGATTCTGCATTACATACCATAATTCATTGTGGTGTACACCATATGTTCTGGCACACACAACACAAGAAACACCGAGACACTTCCACTGCACTGTTCTTAAGTACACAAATGACATTGACTCTCTGGTGCAATTCCATACAATTATTCCATTCTAGTGAATGCACACTGTGTATATGCAGCACAGTGTTACGTGCAACAGAATGCAATTGTAGTGCACACAACACCAAAAGACACCTGAACCCTAGCTTATGTGATACAGCAAAAATTGAGGCACTTCCAATGTCCTACATTTCTTCGCGATTCATTGTGATTTGTGGCACTTTCATTAAATGCGCAGTACTTTCCCGCAGACTTACTCAGAGATTTAGTGAATGCTAACGCTGCATAAATATTTACATAATCTGAAATGCCAAAATCCATTCGTCAAGGGGTTGGTGAGCAGTAAGTGGTACGTGGCACTCACTTTGTGTGGTCGCGGATGGACACAGGCTGTGGTGCCATCTTTCCTCGGCAGGGCAGTGCATGTCTTGAAGGGGCCCTGCAACACTTTTTGAGCATGGTCAGAAAATGCTGCCGATCGGTAGTAGTGGCTCTCGACAAAACGCGAGCCAAATATAGCGCAGCACGCGGCCTGGAATTCACAATTATTAAAATCAGCTAAAAACTGCTTTCTCTTTTCTGACAAATCATGGAAGACGCTCAAAAATCTTTCGTAAAAAGCCCATCTATCGGCCATCGGCTGATTTGAACATGGCGCGCTCCTTCGTTAGAGAGATCGCCGCGGGAGGCCGCTACTTGTTCACATGTGCACGCTTGATCACACTGAAGAAGTCATGCATTCGAAGAAAAAAAAAAGTGTTCTAGGTCACGAAGCGTGCGTTATGTTTTTTTTTTTTTGGTCTCTACCATCCCTCCCTGCTTAGCTTCCAGCGCTTTCGTCGGGATGATAAAAGAGAAAATGCAATTGCAGCATGCAACAAGCCTTTGTAACTCCACTCGCAATGCACGGATTTTTAAAATTGAATTCGTGAGGCAGAAAGCTCTTCCAGTGAATTCATTCCATGGTTACTTCAAAAAGTGTTTCATGTCCCCTTTAAGGCACAGGCAGCACAAGTTAGTAGGCTTGGGAGAATATTCGAATTAATAATACAGAGTATTCGAATGAGCTTCAATTCGAATTTAAATTAGGGAAAATTTCGAAGCATTTGCAATGAACAAATAAGTGTATGCTAATCCGCATGTAACCACCTGTAAAGGTTGTTTCATTGCAGTGTAGAGACGCCAAGTCGTGAAAGCACTTACACACACACACAAAAAAAAAAAAAAGCTCTGCCGCAAAGTTCTCCTTCAAATTTAAAGGGGCCCTCAGCCCTTTTAGAGCATGGTCAGAAAACACTGCCAATCGGTAGTCAAGGCTACTGAGAACATGCGAGCGAAATATTGTTACGGGAAGGAGACTGACTCAGCGGGGGAGTCACCGATGTATTTACAGCCGGTTAGGCGAGCAGCGCCAGCCACACAGATTAGCTCGTGCCAGTCTATCTGCTTTATCTTCTTCAGCTCCATGCACTGGTACGTAGCATGACCCCCGGCGGCAAAGGCACCGTCCCGGTGCTTTAAAGGTCGTTATCTGACGCATTATTGTAGGGCTTGATCCGCGAGACGTGTACGATATCACTGGGCTGCATAGTGGATGATGATGGACAGATGGGGCTGATCTCGTAGGTGACAAGTGTTACTTGACGCAATATACGGTAGGGTCCCGTGTAATGAGACAGAAGTTTTTCTGATAGGCACAGTTGACGATGAGGGGACCAGAGTAAAACAAAGGTGCCGGGAGCGAAATGTACGTCTCTATGTTTCGCATCGTACCGACGGCATTGATTGGTTTGCGACGCCATCAACCGAGCGCGAGCGAGCTGACAGGCATGATCGGCTCGCGCAATCGCGTCGTGGGCATACTCGCTGGTGGACAAGGTGTGAGCTGAGATGACTGTGTCCAGTGATAAAGTCGGCTCTCTTCCGTACAATAAGTAGAACGGCGAAAAGCCCGCTGTGTTGTGATGGGATGAATTATATGCGAAAGTTGCGTAGAGTAAAGCAAAGTCCCAGTCTCGGTGGTCGGGCGACACGTACATAGCGAGCATATTTGTTAAAGTGCGGTTAAATCGTTCCGCGAGGTCGTTTGTTTGAGGGTGGTAAGCGGTTGTCAGTGTGTGTTGCAAGGAACAAGAACGCAGAATATCGGCGACGACTTGGGATAGAAATGTACGGCCACGGTCTGTGAGAGGCTGTCTCGGAGCACCGTGAATCAATATAACGTCCCGTAACAAGAAGTCAGTGACGTCGGTTGCACAGCTGGTCGGTAGAGCTCGAGTAATAGCGTAGCGTGTAGCGTAGTCTGTAATAACGGCTATCCATTTGTTTCCCAATGTTGATGTGGGAAAAGGACCAAGCAGGTCTAACCCAACACGGTAAAATGGTTCCGCGGGTATGTCAATTGGTTGAAGATGGCCAGCGGGTAGCAGCGACGGTGTTTTACGACGTTGGCATAGGTCACACGTGGCAACGTATCGGCGTACCGAACGAGCAAGGCCTGGCCAGAAAAAACGGCGCCGGACGCGCTCGTACGTGTGGGATACGCCAAGGTGTCCAGCCATGGGAGCGTCAAGAAGTTCGGTGAGAACACAGCGGCGCAAATGCTTAGGCACAACAATGAGAAGGTCGGGCCCGTCTAGTCGGAAATTGCGAAGGTATAGCACACCCTTTTGAATGACAAAGTAGCGGACGGAAGCATCATTTGTGGAGGATTCCATACGGCTGATGATGTCAAGCAGCTCTGGATCACACTTCTGTTCTTCCCCAATATTAAGGAAGTCGGACACTGACA